ATATTTTGTATGGCAAATTGTATGTAATCTATTCACCTAGTCCAGGGGCCAGCTAACTTTCTCTGTACAGGTTAGATAAGTAATTATTTTAGGCTTTGCAAACCACATTCTTTCTGTCATAACCACTTAGCTATGTTGTTGTCATGGGAAAGCAGCCATGATAAAAAAACAGTAGCCAGTAAGTGTGGTTGTATTAGGAAAGAACAGGCATGAAAAGGAGAAGGGAAGGGAGGAGAGGAGAGGAGAAAGGAGGGGGGAAGAAAGAGGTTGTGGGCCAGATTTAGTCCATGGTTATAATTTGTCAAGTACTTTAGTCCAATATTCTTATATTTATTATGAAAATTATCGAATAAAAGAAGAGAAATGCATACACTATCTCTTGCATTTAACAATTGTTAATATTTCACCATATTATTACTATTCAGAAAAATTCTGTCATCATGAGATTTTGCCTCTGCATAATTAAGTATGTATCTTTAAAAATAAAGACCTATTACTACCTAACCTAATAAAATTAGTAGTAACTCAACAGCCCATATTTAAATTTCTCCAAATATCCCCTAAATTATTTCTATAGCTGTTTTGTTCTGATCAGAAATCTAATTAAAGATCAGACATTGCTTTTGATTATTATATATTAAAAAAAGTCTTTTGTAATCTCAAACAGCAGCCTCCAAGCCACAGACAATTTTATATGACTCATTGAAGAGTAGTCTATTTTTTAAGCTATAGTTTACTGATTTTGCTATTACAGTTTTCTATTTTTCCCCCTTAGCCCCCTTCTACCCAATACCCCCCACTTCCTCAGGAAATCTCCCAGCCATTGTTCATGTCCATGGGCCATGCATATGAGTTCTTTGACTACTTGATTTCCTATACTACACTTTACATCCCCATGGCTATTCTGTAACTACCTATTTATACTTCTTAATTCCCTCACCTCTTTACCTATTACTCCATACCCCCCACCCACCTGGCAACCATCAAAACACTCTCCATATACATGATTCTGTCTCTGTTCTTCTTGTTTGCTTAGTTTGTTTTTTAGTTTCAATTGTTGGTAGCTATTTATCTATTGCCATTTTATTTTTCAGAGTTTTGATCTTCTTTTTCTTATATTAAGTCCCCTTAACATCTCATATGATAATGGTTTGGTGATGATGAACTCCTTTAGTTTTTCTTGTCTGGGAAACTATCTGCCCTTCGATTCTAAAAGGTATCTTTGCTGGGTAGAGCAATCTTGACTGTAGGTCCCTGCTTTCCATGACTTTGAATGTTTCTTGCCAGTCCCTTCTAGCCTGCAAATTTTCTTTTGAGAAATCAGCTGACAGTCTTATGGGACTACCCTGTAGGTAACTAACTGCTTTTCTCTTGCTGCTTTTAAGCTTCTTTCTTTATCTTTAACCTTTGGCATTTTAATTACGATGTGTCTTGCAGTGGGCCTCTTTGCATCCATCTTGTTTGGGACTGTCTCTACTTCCTGTACTTACATGTCTATTTCCTTCACCAAATTAAGGGAGTTTTCCTTCATTATTTTTTCAAATAGGTTTTCAATTTCTTGCTCTTTCTCTTCTCCTTCTGGCACCCCTATGATGTGAAAGTTGGACCACAAGAAGTTGTCCCAGAGTCTGCTCATACTGTCCTCATTATTTTGGATTCCTTTTTCTTCTTGTTGCTCTGATTGGTTGTTTTTTGCTTCCTTATGTTATAAATCATTGTTTTCATTATCAGATTCATCCATTCTATGTTGTTTCCCTATAAATTGTTCTTTATTTCAATTAGTGTATGCTTTATTCTGACTGAATCTCTTTTATGCTGTTGAACAATGTGAACAAGTACTGGAAACAATGCATGTCCTAAGAACATTCATATAGAATTTCTTTTTATATTTTCCTTAACATATTTACCTCAATTTCTTCTTAATTCTTATGTTAGATTAGACAAATATGTATATATGAATATGGACATTCACATACAACATAAAAATATATTCATGGAAATACTTGTATATGATCTATACTGTCAGTGCTGTGTAAAAATGGGGGATGGAAGGGTCAGTTTCTTTCATTAAGTCAAAAAATTCTAGATCACTAGAATCTATCACCTCTGTGAAAGATGCTGATCACTTTATCTTTCAAGAAGACATGGCAGTATCCCAGGCTGTGAGCAAATGTAGAAATGCAGATACTTGAGGTGATATTCAAGAGTTTGCAGTGCCTTATGAAAGAGGAAAATCATTTCCTGGGAAAAGCTAAATGTCTGTGAGAAAATCCGTTAGTTTACCAGGGAATTTCCAAACAGAAAATCACTCTAAATTTCATAAACTTTCCATGAAATGAGGGCTGTTGGAATATATGTGGAGGCACACTTAGTAAACAATGTTCAGCCCTGGCTAGTGCAGCTCATGGATTGAGTGCTGGCCTTTGAACAAAGCGTTGCTGGTTTGATTCCCAGTCTAGAGCACAAGCCTCGGTTGCGGGTCAAGTCACCAGTAGGGGCCATGAGGGAGACAACCACACATTGATGCTTCTCTCCCTCTTCTTCTCCATCCTTCCTCTCTCAAAAAATAAATATATAAAATCTTTAAAAAAAAATGTTCAGAGAAGAAACAGGGCATGATGAGACCAGACGGAAGAAGCAAACTTGAGGAGCACAGGTATGCGACAGTGTAGTGTGAGCTTACAGGTGAGGTGGCTGGAAAATATGACCATGGAAATGAGAGGGGCTTGTGTTATCCATGTTTTAAAGTATCTTAACTTGTTAGCAATAGCAAATAGGATCAATAAAGAGTCAGGAAACAGGACTGAACCAACTGAGATGATGGGAGCACACAAAGAAAAGAGAACCAAGAGGTGCTGATTGGAAACTGGAGCAAAGCTAGAGTGGCCTCAGTTGAGAAAAGGAGCTGAATGTGGAACAGATGGAGTTGGGGCAGAGAGTAAGTTAGAAGACAAAAGCACGGTGCAATATTGTTAATTGCAGGCACAAGTGGTTATCTAGATTTAAATTAACAACAACAAAATAAAGCTAAAAATTCAGTTCAAAAACAGCAGAGGAAGAGGTGAAGGAGGAGGGATGGTGAGTCATAGTTTCCCTTTCCCGTTTGTGCTTAATTTCCCATGTGATGGTCCAGGGAGCCACCGCTCCGCAGCAGAGGGGTCTGTCACACCCCCTCCCAGAAAGGGGCTGGAGAGGTTGCTGCTTTCCCAGTGCTCTAGGTATTGGGATTGTTAGAGCAGGGCATTGAGTTAGGGGGGCAGCCAAGGTTGGCTCTGGCTGAAGAGGGCTTGTGCACACCCTGTGCCATGCCCAGAATTCAAGGTCAACAAACGATTCACTCGCCATGCAAAAGCTGTGAGAGTGAGCTCCTTCTTCCCTGGTGTCCATTGAGTCTTCAGTCATTCATGCCATGCAACCCTCCTGCTAACATATTGCTCAGCCCAAGTCAGAGGGCAACACTCACATTTTATATTACTCGACTAATGAGAAATTTGGCCTGACCATCTTTTATTTTATTTATTCATATCAACCAATTCTAATTATAAGCATTCTTATTCACTGCAAGCAGATACAGTCAGCCTGTCTCTTCCCTCTAAGCTCCATGATGAATAGCATGAATATTCAAACCTCTGTTGAGTAACCTTCTTTGTCACACATCTGCAGTGAAATGACAGCATTCTGTAGAAGCTCTGACCCTCAGATTGTCCTTCTTTTCTAGGACATTTTTAGCATCTTTTTAGTCACAATCAACTTTTATACACTGATTGTGTATAACAATAGATCTTCCATTCCAGACCGCCATTTCAAATTCCATAGACCCTACCACGCACAATATTTATACCTGACATTGGGAGGTGAAGAGAACATTTCCCAAGAACACTGTCAAATGCTGCCTGCCTTGTGGGAGTCACTATTTATTTCACAGACTCAAGGCTGCTCAGTTTCCCATTTGCATGTGTGGGCAGCCGTCTCTTCAGTTCATTCCCCATGTTCTAATTGGTTCACTCTACAGGTTCTTGGCTCTGTGCTTGGGAATCGTCACTGGCTTTTAACCCACCTCACCTGAAGAGCAACTTCTGTGTGTCCATTAGTATTTCAGACAGAGATCCTAATCTTAAAAATTATCAACAGAATTTTAATTGGAGGTTTTGATTGTTTACTTTTAATCTTAGTGATATATTCTTTCTTTCTTTCTTTCTTTCCTACTGTACTTGAAAAAGGCAAAACTTGAAAAAGAAGAAAGTTGTTGGGGACCAAACATGATCATTTAGGGTGAAAAACGGACTTTTCCTGGACTTTTGTTGGTCACTTAAAAGCAGAGGACCTTAGAATTGTAAGTATCAGAGCTTTGCTTGTATGAATTAATGTTTTTAAAAAAATCCTCACTCTTAACATTAGGAAATTTTCTGCCTCATAAAGAACAACTTTGAACTTTGAAAAATGACTGAATATATCCTAACATTTACTGAAGTGGAAAGTTTATGATTTTCTACCATGACCTGAGCGTCTGCTGAGCACGGGTCAGATAATCCTTTTGGAATGCTATAAGCTTTCATCCAGACTTCCTTTTCTAATATAGGAAGAAGCTAAACAATCTGTGAATAGAGCAGAGTGTGAAAACCTCCTATCAATTCTCTATACTTCTTATCATTTTAAATGCCTGCCACTGAAAACCTTCCATTAAAGAGTGAATCTGCCATTCCCTACAGAGAGCTGCCTTTCAGCTGGAAGAAGGGTGTGTCCCTATCTTTTACCTGGGAGCAAGGATGATCTTGTCAAACATCTTTGTGAGACCAGCCCAAGTTTTTAGGGTGGGGATCTGAACTAGTTATAGGTACCATCAGTCCTCCCACAAAGGCAGAAACACCTCAAAGCCTGCACATAAGAACATCTACTGAGAAATTATTTTAATCAAACACCAGCTGATTGGGGAAAAGAAAAAGAACAGAGGAGAACAAGCAGCACTCCCCTGGTCCTGGATGTGAGAGCGCCCAGCGGCGATGGGCTGGCACTTCAGAGCAGCTGTAGTGCTGTTCATTTTTCTGGTAAGTGGATTCTGTTAAAAATCCTTCATGATCATTCTAGTTGTCAACAATGGAGAATGTTTTTAAATTATTTATTTATTTATTTTTAAAGTGAGGGGAAGGGAGGGAGAAAGAGAGGCAGAGGAACATTAATGTGAGAAAGAAACATCCATCCATTGCCTTTCAAAGGTGCCCTGACTGGGAACCAAACCTACCACTCAGGCACATGCCTTGACTGGGAATCAAACTAGTGACCTTTTGTTTTCATGGATTTTGCCCAGCATGGAGCCACACCAGTCAGGGTAACAGGTGAGAACTTATCACATAGTGTTATTTCTAACCTAAACCCATTAAAATTTATGTTAATGACAATGTGATTTTATGAACTAGATTTTTAAATAGTGTTTCTCTCTTTAATTGATGACTCAAGATCATATTAATGCATCAGTGTCAACTCATCATATGACATCTCTGACATCAAAGTCATTACTAAGTCATTCTGGGAAAATATTGAATTTGAGGTTTTCATCTCAATATTTAATAGCACTTTGTTACTCAAATTCTCTTTTGCAAGTGGCCTTTTAAAGCAATATCACAGATGTGTCCTGATTTTAACCTAAATATTTTTCATTCTTTTTGTACCTCTGCAGGATGCATGTGTGCTGTGGTTGATATTTGTTTCTGCTTGCTTCATTTTTAACTGGGTTGTTGGGTTTCCATAATAACAAGCTAGATCTTTGATTCAATATACATTGGTTAGTTTTAATTCAGTTTATTAATTAAGACACATCATAACCAGTGGATTTAGTTATAAATGAGCATCAGGAAGCTGGTAACTATACAGCCAAGTTGCCCTTTAAACATGAGCTCTACTCCATGGACTTTCTAATGGATCTTCAGAATCAGTTGATTTCATAACTTGGGATGTGGTGGAATTAATGAGCATTATGCAGTATGCATTTGGACAAAGGAGAATTTATTTGTACATAGTGAAAAAATAAAATACTCTCATTCTTAATTTTATGTAAATTTGATCTCTTAAGGCCTATTTAGTCACAGTTTATTAAAGATTATTCAGATGCTTGTGTACATTCATAAGTCTATAAGATACCTTATTTCATTACATTTGTGATTATTTTTAATTAATTACAGCATACAAAATTTCTTTAAACAGCCATTTTCCAATTAGTCAGTCCTCATTAAAATGTATCATGTTATCAATATTGTGTATCCTTATTGAAATTTCTTTCTTTGTACAGAGATTTCTGGGTATTTGTACACTCTTTTCTCAGTCTGGATGGGTATCTTTTGTCTGGATAATTTATTTGCTTGTTTTTGCCATATTTTTCTTTGGAATAAATCACAAGTTTCTCATATGCCTTATGAAAATTATTTCTCAAAGAACTTATTCTATGATGAATCCAAATATTTCAGTTTTTCATTATCGTAACATTTTTGTAAAACATTTTACTTTCGAAGATTTGGAAAATCATAATTTATTTTCACTATCGATTTTACCAGATTATTTAGATAAGTGTAATTTGGAGTTATAAAGTCTATTTTTGCTTTAAAATACTTTTTATTCTGAAAATTAATCACCACTCTTGAAGACTCTTCCACTTCTTTCTGCTAACCTCCCTGTGAATGTTTGCTTATACAAATAAAAAGAAGGAAAGAAAAGAAAAGAAAGAGAAAAGAAAAAATATTTATGCAAAGCCTTTATATTCTTCTCTGGTCAAAGTTGATAAACGAAAACCTATAGTAGGGAGCATAGTTGAACAATTTTGAATACCTTTAAAACATTTAAACTGCTAGTATCTTTAATGCAAATCCACTTGAGAGCTGAGCAGCCATACCTTTGCAAATATATTGTGTAGTCTGTTCAATATCCTGAAGGTATAGACCTTGTTCACATTAGTGTGTTAGAAAATAAAAATGAAGAGGCTGCTCTTGCAGTGACCCATATTGCAAAACAGGATTATTCCATTTAGACAAGTCTTTGGACACAAAATAGCTTATACCTCTTGTAACACAGCAAGCCAAGTAAATGTTATTGATTCTGCATTTATTTTTTGTTTTCACGAAATTAGTATGTGGGTGGGATGGTAATCTAGGCCAAAGAACAAAGTTATTTATGCACCAAAATATATAAGCAGTTTTTGAGAATGTTTGTGACAATGGTATAAGGTATGGCATGGTCACTGTGGGAGAGCAAAATAGCAGCAGTAGAATTTTTATAAATGGTTTCTAAAACTTATTTGTAACTTTATCAGTTCCAGTGAGTACAATCAATATACTTTGAGGGTGTCTTTTTCTAGAAAACAAACTTCTGCAGCAAGGAACTCAAATAAATTTACCATTATCTAATACCAAGAATGATCCAATTTCATCAGTACCTCATAGCAGCCTGGCTTCTTTTCTTTCTATGGCCAATACTATCTTTCAAAAAAAGCCCGGTGACCACCTGATAAACTAAGCCCACATGTTGACTTAGCTGAAATTATTTAGTCTTTAAGCAGGAGATAACCTGATTATTTCTCAATACTCAGGCAAAAATGCACAAAAAATAATACAGTCAGGGCAAAAGCAGGTTTATAGTAGTGAATAAGCTAAACATAGAGTTTATTCTTGTATGATTATTTATTAATTATTGTATTATTTATTTGAATGAAGATAATGAACCTATTTTTTCCCACTCCTGTATATACTTTATTACACAGTTCATCAACTTATTTGAACTGGACATCTTAAATACAAATAGTTGTGTTCACTGATGCATAAAGCAAAGGAAAGATAACAAACTCCTAGGCACTAACAGAAAACAACAAAAAAGAGGATTGAGCACATAGCATAATGATATATATTATAGATATTAGTATTTCAATAACATTTTTATAGAAAATGAAAGCAATATTTCTTTTCACCTGTTCAGTAAAATTTATAAATTTTATTTAAGCAAATTATTTCCATTTACATGGTGCTCTTAACTGCAGTTTACATGGCACATTTAAGACAAGCATCTTCTATCACCTTTATGAAAATTGACAGGACACATTTATCATCCTTTAATTGGTTCTTTTTGCTGCAGAATAAGAACATCTTGCCATGCCTGATCTAGGCTTTAGAAAAACCTAAAGCACTAAAAAGAGCTGCCTTGATAAATATGAAGGCTTGGGCCCTAACAAACAAGATACACCTATTTAACAGGGCTCCTGAATCTAGAAAAACAACACTCTTGTCTATACCCAGAACACTGAACTTCTGATAACTCTTTCGTTGTCCTTCTTCAAGGACATTATTGCTGAATGTACCCATGTCTTAACAGACATTGCCTAATGTATAAGCAGGAGGCATGCTTGGCATTGCAGTTAGGCTCACTCGTGCCCCCACCATTGAGGGAACACCCTTACAGATTGCTGGGTCATCCACCCTTGCTGATGGATGCTTGACATGCAAATTCCTTGAATGGACTTAAGCAAGTCAAAGTAGTTTAAATGCCTTTGGTTGCTGATCCTGCCCTTGACTGGTCTGTGAAAATAGAGGTCAGTCCTTTATACCTGTCTAATGAAAACCCACAACCCCCAAATTAATGGCTGTCTGTCTCATAAAACTATTTGACTGTAAGTTATTTGAGAGCAGGTTCTGCCTGGTTCACATTGGTACCTTTCATAGCTCATTGTACCAATGCCAGATGGTTCAATAAGTGTGTGATAACACAACATAGAGATATCAGAAGGGAATTTTTGGATAGTTTATATTTTTCTCCCTTTATACACTTCAAAAAATTGTCAAGGTATTTAACATGGAAATAATCATGTTGAGTTTCCTAACACTTACTTTTATGATGCAGCATTATATTTACTTTATATTTCATCTAATGCTTACTATAATATTTTTAGCACTTAAGCCCTTTAAATGTCTTAACCCAGCCTTGGACCCACATAACACATTCAATATATATTTATCAAATAAATAAATAAAACAATGAGCAAATAAAAGAAATCAAACTATCAGGAAATCAACTCTAGACTGATAACTTTTGTGCAAGTAACAAAAAGGAAACAGAAAAGAGGTTTTAAAAGAAAGCAAATTATTATATTTTATCTGTCTCTAGTTCATTCTTCTGATGTTTATAACAATCAAATACCTTAGAATCTGATGCTAAACAAAAACTGCAAGGAAACTGGAAGACCACCTTATAATTTATTCAATGCAAGAGGTTTTCCTTATAAAAATTATAATTTACTATTTCAAGACCAATGAAATGCAAATAAATGTAAAACTCAGTATTAAAAAAAAGAACAAAAAAATGAGTATAATAGAGAATCATTGAAATTAGCATGCAATTCTGTAACCTGTGGTTTGGGGGTTTTGTTTTAAAAAAATGTGAAAAAGCTTCTAAAATAGAGATGAAGGGGAGAGATACTGAGGATTCACTTGAAGTGAATTATTCACTGCTTTCATTTTGGATAAAATAGGGGTTTAGTGTCATATATACATGGGGAAACTGTGGTATATAATTGCTAAGTGACTAACTCCAATACCCGTATCCGGGGGGCAAGAGACTAAGAAGTACTCAATGAGCTTGACTATCCCGTATTCATCTCTAAGTAAATCTTTTTACACCCTTTGCAGAATGTACTCCCAATTTATTTTGGAATCCAAACCACTCCTCTTATTTAGAGAAAACAACCTTAACCTCGCCCTAGAGACAAGGTCTGAATCATCCATATGGTGTCCTTCAATTTCCCTGTCCTACTCAATTGATTTTAATCTCCATTATCTCACTCTTCCTTACCCTCTGTCTTCAAAGCCTTTTCTCTCTGCCTCTTCCGTCCTGCTCATCACATACCTCCAGCAAGGACTTTCTCAACCTCTCCTGTTTCAAATCAAAATCTCCCACTCTCCTCTATCTCTGCCTTCAAAATCCACATCTCCTTCTCCCCAAATATCTCCTTGTATATTTCATCATAGTCTACTATCACTTCTGTTTTCTTATATCACCAAATTTCTCAAAAAAAAGTGGCATCTGTATGTCTTCTTCCCCTCCATTATGCCCCACTCCCGCCCTTGTGCGTCAGGAAAGGCCTGTCCCATCCAACTGAAAGCATTCTCCTGAAGGTCACAGAAAACCTCAGGCTTTCTCAGGCTTCACGCTGTTCAACTTTTTTGTATATCATCTGACACTTGTTCATAGTCTATCTGTCTTTCAATTCTCCTTCCTTTGACATCCATGACATTACATTATATTTGCCTCCTATTTCTTTGGCCACTTCTTTTCCATCTTTTTCTTTTTTCCTGTTTCTTCTTTATTGCATGCCTCCCAGGTATATAATCGCAGCAATTCTCTTGATTTTATCCTCAGCCACAGGCTGTTTCTTTGCAGTATTCTCTACATTAGGGACTTCAAATTTTCCCATGATTCCAACCATGCTACATGAGCATCTGTGGATCAGGCATGAAATATTGTTCATGGTGCTGACACATATTTCAAACCACTGAACGTCTTCACCAGGCATTTCTCTGGCATCTCAAACTGGATGTGTTCCAACTTGCTAAACTCTGCTTCTGCCTTGCTCCTGATCTCCTAGATTAAAACTGCAAAGACCCACAAACCACGTGTTCTCAAACCCTGTCAGTTTCAACCCAGCTGTATTTCTCCCTTGATCTTTCCCAGTCTGTCTGTTCTTCCTCGTCTCTGGACTGACTAAATGCAGAAAACTCAGCTGCTGGTGGCCTGTAATCACTGCCTCTTCCCACCACCTCCATCAATTGTTGTCAGAGTCTACTTTTAAATCTACAATTTATCATGTCTTTACCATGATCAAGAAACTTCAATACAGTATTTTCCTATTGCACACAAGGATTTGATATTAGAATTTGAAAGATAATTGTATGTGATCTAGTCAACATCTGTCATTTTAGAAATGAGAGTACTAAAACTCAGAGAATTTAGCTAGTACATTAAAAGTTTTCTGACTTTACCTCATGTTTGTTTTACCTCATTATTTTTCCTTTAAAAGTCAAAGAGTAACTTTGCTTCAGAGTTTATTTTAGACATTGAGCAAAAGACAATATGGTTATGTCAGCACAACATATTTTTAAGACAACTTGGCAGTTTTTTTCATTGTTAATCCATTTGAGAGCCTGACTATACAGTGAAACTTACTCAGTCTTCTGCCTAAGTTGCCTCTCATGGTAAAAGTGAGAAGGTTAGCAGTCTCCGGCATGGCTCTCCCAAACGAACAGTGGCACCGACACTTCCGTGTGGTAAAGGAAGTGCAAAAGAGAGAAGAGATGAATACACAGTCCTGTAGGTATGAAGAATAGGCTCCCAAACAGACAAATGAGGTATGCCCACAGCCCCAAACAACACCCACAAATGAGAATAGTTAAGTGTTCATGAGTTCAAGGTAGCAAGAGGCATACAGCTGCATTAATATCATTTCAGTTCTGCACCCAAGCAGGACTCTATGATAACATTTCGGTTATTTGTCCAAACCATTTGGATCATTTGTATTTCTTCCTCTCCCAGTATGACTATTATTGTTGTTATAACTGAATATAAACATTCTGAAACACAAGGACAATATGAGATTAAATGAAAATCCAAATTTATTTTTTGAATTCTCAAAATTGTAATGGTTTCCTATAGTATATTTTATTTAGTAATTTACATAAAATAGGCTAGTTGTATTTGCCTCAAGCTCATTTAGTCTGAATTGTATTGGATTGTACAAAGTGATTAATATTGTAAATTCAATTTCCTCATCTGTAAAATAAAGATAATTATAGTGTTGACCACATGTATTTGTGAAGATTAAATGCATGGATTTCTCTAAACATGTTTTATACTACCTAGTTATCATTTAGTGAATTGTAATAGTGATAAAGATAATGATTAACATCAAATATATACCATGAGTATATAACTCCCATATAAAAATATTATCTTCTTAAAGTCCTCATATTAATCATAAATACAATTTTTGTGAATTATCAATTATGGTGATTTAAAAAAAGGTACTTAGAATTTAGAATCTATTTTATTTTAATGGTGAAATTAAAACTCACTATAAAAAGATATTTACTATATTTTGAAATTACTATTGTTAGTATTTTATTAAATGCAAACCATAATTTTATTTTCTCACTAATACAGGCAAAGCTTATTTATAATTACAGTTTTCATATTTTGCAATTCTAAAAATAATTCGAGTCAATGTTAAATAATATCTTATGTAGGGAGAAATAAGAACTAAAGAGTCACACTGTACTTATTAATTCTAAGTGCAATTTAAAACAATATAGGCAAACCAGCTTTCAAATCCACACCTAATTTTTTCGATAGATATTTTACAATGTCTTAAGTACGTTGATATATTAAACTTAACACATACGTGTGTTTTTTAAAATGCCTTTGGTTTTTAGAGGAAAAACAATAAGTTAAATTACCCTGATTGAACACTACAAATCATATGTAAAGGTCAAGGGCAGAACTGAGCTGAAATTAGACAGAACTGTGCTTGACTAGCTCACTTATTTAATGCAAGAACAAAAACTAATGGAAGTTGCTTACCCAGCGATCTGTCCCTGCACTGTGATCGCTCCCGCCCACCCTCCTACCCTCCCACCCTCAATCCATGGGTCCTTAATCATGTTCCTTGATGACCCTTTCCCTTCTTTTCCCCTGTTATCTCCCTCCCCCTTCCCCTCTGGTTACTGTCGGTTTGTTCTTTATTTCAATGTCACTGGTTATATTTTGCTTGCTTGTTAGTTTTGTTGATTAGGTTCCACTTATAGGTGAGATAATATGGTATTTCTCTTTTACCACCTGGCTTATTTCACGAAGCATGATGCTCTCCAGTTCCATTCATGCTGTCCCAAAGGACAGTCTTTCTTTCTGCTGCATACTATTCCATTGTGTAAATGTACCATAGTTTTTTGATCCACTCATTTACTGTTGCTCACTTAGGTTGCTTCCAACACTTGACTATTGTGAATTGTGCTGCTATGAACATTGGGGTGCATAGGTTCTTTAGAATTCGTGTCTCAGGTAAAATTTCTTCTTACAATGGAAGTATACATTTATATCACTGACTTTCTCTAGTATGAACACAAAACTACAAATATGAGCTCATTTTTACATGGAGAAAATATTTGTTTTTATAATCATATTGTATTTTTTTCATTGCAATGGAAAAATTTTTATCTTAGAACTTTATATTCTCATGTTTCAAAGCAAGTAAAAAGTTTATCATCTTAAAATTTTTTGGAATAATAGGAAAGCATCCATTTAGAATTAGAATGTGAAGAAGGAAATATTTTGAAGCTTTCTGGATATTTTATGCTTTGTATGATTTCTTCATCTCAAAACATTTTTTTTCTTTATGTCTGAGTCTACTCGGGGGCCAAAACTATACTCAAAAGTTTTAGTATCATAACTTACTGTTGAACTACACTAAATATCTCCAGCTCTTCAGACACAGGATTTACTAAGAGGACACTATTTTCCAACCCTCATTCCCACTGTGTTCTAGTTTCAAATGTCCTTGTTCATATGATTACAAATATCTGCATAAACTGAGAATAAAACAAAAATTAAAATAATAAAAAGAAGAGCAAAATTGAAAAGTAAACTGAAAGAAAAAGCATTGTTAGCATCCTTTTCAGACCTGAGAGATAAACCAGGTCCACCTGCTGCCTAGACTGAGAATGTAACTTTAATGACTCAGATTTGTTTGATTTTTTAAAATGATTTGATGACATAAATTATAAAGCATTTATTAAAAAATTAAATGTTGTGTTTATTATGTTTTTTATAGGTGGTAGTGGAAGTTAACAGTGAATTTCAAATTCAGGTAACATATATCACATTTATTTTTTCAATTTAAAAACAAGGAAAATGGTTTGAGAGTAACAACATATCCCTGATGCTCCCCCCACAAATCATCCTTATAAGTAAAGTTAATGTTATGTTGAAATTAATAGAGTTTCAAAATTACCAGTCTTCCCAAATAATTATCCTTTCTGACATGACAGCTACCCCTCCTACTAATTTTTTAATGGAATGTGAATTATGAATAAAAGTTAATAGATATCACTACTTTACCCTGCTGATTCAAGGTACGAGATTATAACACTAAAAATGGCACCATCAAGTGGCATTCAATCAGAAGGCAAAAACGTGAATGGATCAAGTTTGCTGCTGCCTGCCGTGAAGGTGAAGACAACTCTAAAAGGAACCCAATAGCCAAAGTAAGTATCAACCCCAAAACATAAAATCAAAAATCAAAATGGATGAAGTTAAAGTTTCAAAAGAATCTGTATTTTAAATATTTTATGAACTGAGAAGTTATGATGTAAAACAGAACAATAGTTATTCAGGTTATGAAAATTGAAGCCATTAAAAGGATAATTTAAGAAATGTAGGCACTCACATAAACAGTTAAACACTGACTCACGTTACTGGTGAAATTAATACACATACATAGTCATGTGTTACCCTAAACTCTAGATTTTAAAATGATAGTGATTTAAGTAATGAATTTACCACTCGGCACATTTAGAGGAACTATTTCAATGTCTGCTCTTTCTGCCTCATAATCTATTAGAATTAAATTCCTGCTTTTGGCTTGTTTATGAGCATTCACCATGTACTCTCTTTTGTAATCTTTTTCCTTTTACTTCCCTTTATGTCTTTGTAAAGAACACGCACACATGCACCCTGAGAAACACATCACCACACACTGATTCACTCATATACAAATATATGTATATGTACACACAGAGACACACTTTGACACACATTCAAACATAACACTTTCACATGATATACATAAGAGCTAGTCCCCATACATAATTTATTTAAAATAAAACTGTCCTGGTTTCTATAACCATTTATTTAAAATGGTCTTCTTATTTTCCTACTAAAATATCCTGCCCAGTTCCAGAATTTAGAGCTTCTACAGTCAGATATCTTTACTTACCTACGTAAATCCACTTCAGTTTTCTTCTTAAACACATTTAAAAATTTTTCAGAGTTGGAAGATCAAGGTTAGGTAATAACAATACTGCTCAAGTCCTTAAGGTGGTAGGGACTTCCCTGTTCTAGACCTAGTGCTAGTAAAGCCTCAAAACCATAGAGTCAAATTGCAAATGTTGAATGAATGCATGAATGAATACATAAATGAATGATCACGTAAAATTAGATATATTAGGGTGACAGTTTACTTTTTTATTATTTGGTAGAAATTGAATTTCTTCTATCACATTAACAGTTATTACTGAAAATCTGCAACTGTAATTATTCTACTTACCTAGTAAAATAATTCTCTACTTCCAGAACTTCCCCCAAAATAACAGGGACAGAACATTCAACACTTCTCAGAAAAGATAGCAATTATATGCCAAATGTAACAGACTTATTTTGTATCCTGTCATGTTTTCAACTGTGCTCTTTCCACAGATCCATTCAGATTGTGCTGCAAACCAGCAAGTAACATACCGCATCTCTGGAGTAGGAATTGATCAACCACCTTTGGGAATCTTTGTGATTAATCAAAAAACTGGTGAAATCAACATAACATCCATAGTTGATCGAGAAGTAACTCCGTTTTTCATTGTAAGTGGGTGCTGTGTCAATATACATGTTCAGTCCTAAGTTATTTTTGGAATGTCTCAAGCTCAGCTCATACTTCACTTTATTTCAAGAGTCTCATTATAGGTATTTTTGGTTGTCCCTTACTTCATGAGCAGCTATGACCCAGAGACACACAGAAAAGATTGAAAGACAGAGGGGTGTTTTTTGCATAAGAGTCTTAGCATAAATGCTAAGCTCTAGTCTGTCCTCAGTGGCAAGGGAAAGTATTTGAGTGGAAAGGCAAGTATTCAACCTTTACTTCTTTTTCTTTAATTCAGTTGAGGATGTTGGTCTGTGCCAACTCCAGTGCCAAGTAATGATTCTATAGGTACTACAAGAGTCTTTTCTGAGTGAACATACTTTAGTATAAATGCACATTGCTCAAGCTCACCTGAGCACAGGATTTGCCTTGGAAACACTTTAGTTCCTCTTTAAATGAATCTTACTCTATTCTTTACGGTAGCTATGACAAAGCTTAAGTGCTCACTCTTCGAACCCTTAACTTCATTCCTATTTTAAGCAGCTGATCTTGTGCCAACTCCATTAAAATATCTGAGGCTCTCTGCCACAGGCTCCTACAATTAATTCTCTCTGCCTGCTCAGAAATGGTCTACATTTAATCCAAAAGCAAGATGAATTTTCTGAGTATTTTTAATATACTTCAAGAGTTTCCATTGTCCCATAATTACCTGGAATCTTGTTCTATCAACTTTGCATTTTCATGGTTCTTCTACTTGCTCTGTAGGTTGTTTCCATCATGGTCCACACTTGTTAATACCTAAAATTAAAAATAAATAAAGAAAATCTTCCTCAGTCTGGTAACCTCTTCTATTGAAGCCCCTTCAATCCATCTCCAAAAATGCCTTCAAATAGTAATCTATGCCTGCTGCTTTCACTCATACTGCTCGTCTGTGTTCCTAAGACTATTTTAATTTCTGAGTCTTCTATTCCAAATTAATATTCCTGGCTTATTTCTGACAATGTTTTCTCAAAAACTCTCTAAATCAGCATGCCAGCCTATTAGCTTTTTTTAAAGTACAATGTTTGTATATGAAATATACCAAATTGGTAAAATAATACACATTATATTTATGTGCATATCTAATATATCGATAATAATAATATAATCACCCATATAGCCATGACCTAGCTTATGAATGCTCTGTTTCTTTGAAGCCCCTATATGACTCTCTTTTACCACACCCTGAACCCCAATAATCCCTACTCCTAATTTCAAACACTGTATTTTCATCCCTTTTTTTATTTCCTTGCATAAGTCCCTTTGCTTGGAACAACTTGCCAATTCCTAGCTCCACCTCTTGAAATTCTCTTTCAAGATCTACTTCAATCATTGCATCCTCCTACGATATCATAGTGTTTTTGTTCTTCCTTGTATAAGTAATCATGTTACCTTTTCTCAAATGGTATTTTGAGTTCATATTTGCCTCCCTTTATTGGTTATAAGTACTGCCTGGGCTTACACTTAAGCAGGAAATAAAGTCTTATTTTTCTTTTAGTTATACAGCACCTAGTATAGTGTCCAGCAAAGTAAAAACTTAATATTTCTTGCATCGCATCATTCTTCTTTATTTTCCAGATCTATTGCCAGGCTCTAAATGCACAAGGCCAAGATTTGGAAAAGATTCTTGAGCTCAGAGTTAAGATTTTGGATATAAATGACAACCCTCCAGTGTTTTCTATGTCTACTTTTCTAGGACAAATAGAAGAAAATTCTAATGCAAGTAAGTAATCAATTTATTCAATAAAGAAAAATATACTGGCTTCCAGATCATTCTTAACAGCCAGTCAACTCGAGGCTAAATTATGTCAATGCACCACATCAAAAATGTAAGAGATAATTATAGAAAAGCATGCAGAAGACAGAGGCATGAGGAAGTCTCCATAAAGGCTCTCAAGGGCAGAGGCAGCTCCGGTCTGTCATACACTAGCAGCCACTCCAAAATAGTGAGAACAGTTTTCTCATGTAATTTACATGCAGTTGTATAGTAGATTCCTAAGGAAAAATCCCAAAAGGACTTTGCACAGTGTTGGGAGGAGCCCTGGAAGGAAAATTCAGCCTCCCAGCCTGACTGTTTTGAAGGGCAATATCATCCACTTTTATTCATATAGCTTTTTTTTAATCTTTTTTTTTTTAACACTTTAAAGTCACCCATAGAAATCACTTTCGGGCAATCAATTATGTGGCCATAATCTTCAAGAGCTTTTGTTCACAGCAAATATATGCAAAATAAATATTGTTTGTTCTTCTACATGAGAGAGAGAGTGTGTGTGTGTGTGTTTGTGTGTGTGTGTGTATGTGTGTGTCTGTGGTTTTTATGGCTTTTTACTCAAGTTACTGATTTTATGTATCTAAAATGTATTATAACCTGAAACCTGTTCGGCCCACTATGTACCTTTAAAGCTGAATGCCTCAAGTGGTGCAAGCTGAGGGGCACCAGAAAACCTACATACAACTAGAGAGAGCACTGACCTGCAAGAGCTGCAGCAGGTAAAAGGTGCAGTGGCCTCCTTATGGATTACTGTAAATGACAACGCTTTAACTGCCAAATATTCAGTCCCGTGGAAGGGATCATATATCAGCTGCTTAGCACACAATTGAAAACTGTCCTACACAGATGAAAAAGGGCAGAGACAATTTTCATTTGAATTCAAAACTTAACTTACCATAGTTACTTTTAAACTTTAAGTGGTATAGCTTCTTATAAATTAAAAAAGAACTTTATATTTTACTTTAGTCATTAAAATACAATCTCCATATTTGAATCTTTTAAAAAGTCATTTTAAAAAATGTGTTTTGAAAACATTCACACAATATGGAAAGTAAAAATGCAATAGAAATTTGTCTTTTTTCTCTTTTCTAATAAGTGCTATCATTAGTTACTTCAGTATAGTATGTTCTATAATTATGTAAATACATACAAATATGTTTTTAGAAACTTTTCTACATACTAATGCACAACATGAACTTTTATTTCAACTTATTTTGGACATATATTCTATATTAAGAAATATAGATTTCTTCAATCCTTTTGACAAATTGCCTCAGATTCATTGTATAAATGTATAAATGTACCACAATTAATTAATTGCCATTTGAAAAAAAATTTTAAATGATGCTGAAGTGAATACAGAGAGAGAAAGAGAGAGAGAGAGAGAGGAGATACTCAAGTCATTTTTGTCTATAAGGCACAGATTGTGTTTAAAACAGTTAGAGTGTAGAAAAGAATTCCAGTTTATAAACACTGTCAGCTTTTCACATTCTCTGATGTCCTTCATCAAAACTGCTTATAGAATTAATGGTAAAGATGAAGGATAGGACAAAGTATATAGTTAAATAAGCATTTCTTTAAAACTTCTAGTTACCTAGACTAAACTAGGGACCATCCAAAACAGAACAGTAATAAATATTTACTTAGTGTGCATTTAATAGGAAGTGTATATGATTTTTCTTAAGCTGCTTTATTCTCTCATGAACTCACAGAGGACAGTACTGTTATCATCCACATTTACAGGTATGGAAACTGAGATCAAGTCATATATCAAGAAAGTTCTATAAAGTTGAGAAGCTGTTGATCTGGACTTAATATCATTTTGTTTCATCACAGCTGCATAAAAAGAAAAGCATTATATTAGAACTAGAAATGGAAAGGCAGAATAAAATATTTCTTTGTTTTCTAGCTTTCAGCAATATCTAGGTTCTTGGTAAAATATAGTCTTTTGTTAGTGAAAATGTATAGAAAGGAGTTAACACATAAATATGTTGAAGAAATAGAAAGGGAAAAAAGGTAGCTATAACAAAAATGCGAACTGTCCAATTTCAATTAATTTTCCTTGATTTCTAGATGCCCTGGTGATGAAACTCAATGCTACTGATGCAGATGAACCCAATAATTTGAACTCAAAAATAGCCTTCAAGATCATAAGCCAGGAGCCTTCTGATTCATCCATGTTCATTATCAACAGATACACTGGAGAAATTCGAACAATGAATAATTTTCTAGACAGAGAGGTAATTTCTCCTTTTTAAAAAATGAGTTGTTCATTCATAGAAACCAATTCTAAAAACAAGAGTACCTAAGAAAGAAAAAAACTATATTTTAAATTTTTAATTACCTAATCCTTTCACGTAACTGTAATGATATAAAAATATCTTTAAAGTGAAAATATTGGGATTCCTCACATACATTTTATACTGTCATTTTTTTCATCTAATCTTAATTAAGATTGGCCTCAAATTTAGAAAACTATATTTTGAGAGTGTATAAAATATGCATTAATATAAGCAAAAGCTCCATTTATTAAAAATATGAGTTATATAATATAATAAATGTAAAAGACATTTGCTATTATGTGCCCATCTTGAAGAGTCATAATGCATGTGAACGTGATTGAGCCTCCAAGAATTTTTACAGGCTAAGAAATTGGTTTATCTTTCTTTAACACAGTGTACTTTAAGCTCATTTAACAACAGAATTCTTTTTTCTTCCTATGTCACACTTACTGACTACTTAGTGATTACATTGGGAAATGAATCACAGGAACAGAATAATGGATAGAAATTAAGCAACATGTAGATCAATGTCTCATTTACAAATAAAGAAAAACAATTAGTGACTGTTATCAAATAAGAAAGAGCATTACATGGTTTCCATTATGCTATGTTGTTCCATAACTTAAAGTAAAACTATCAACTTTCATTATTTTCCAGTATTAATAGAATATAGCTGACCTATGTGTACAGTAGGGATATAAATGAGGAAGTTTTGTTTTCTAATTAATACTCAATACATTTTGTTTAAATCATTATAGTTATTTAAAAATGACAATCTCTTGTCAATGACCTAGAAGTTTAGCATAAATCAGGTTATTTTTACACTCTTTAATGATCCAAAGGCCATCAGTTTCTAGGTTACCTATATCTCTTCTTAAAATAGTTTGAAATTACAATCAGAAGAAATTGACTATTTAGCTCTTACTCAAATTTTTTTAAAAAACTCAATGAAAGTCCTTTAATGTTGAAAGAGTTGTAGCAGTGCAGTGCTCTGAAAAGCGAAGGAATTCTGTAGACACTGCATGCCACCAGAGCCAATACTCTCAACCTGGGGTCCAGGAGAGACCTCAAGATGTCTCTATGAATCCTCTAAGAGTACATCACAGTTTTGAATAAGAATGCAGTTATGCATTAGTCTGGAAAAGGAGTCATAGCTTTTAAAGCTTCTAATAATTTAAGCACCATTGAGTAGAATCAAGAAGACAGATCCTCAATAATTCCACTGTCGCAACCTGTCTCCCCCTGCCCCCCAGGAATGCAAACCATTTGTTATCTTTTCATTCCTCCACATCAGGGGCTGATTATCAAAGGTATGGAAATTTCAAGACAGAATTCTATTTTTTTTTAAAGATTTTATTTATTTATTTTTACAGAATGGAAGGGAGGGAAAAAGAAAGGGAGAGAAACATCAATGAGTGGTTGCATCTCGTGTGCCCCCTGCTGCGGACCTGGCATGCAACCCAGGCATGCGCCCTAGGCTGGGAACTTACCCAGTGACCCCTGGTTTGCAGGCCAGCACTCAATCCACTGAGCCACACCAGCTAGAGCCAGAATTCTTGATAAACTTTAATTTCTCCCCTCCTGATATTTTTGACCCACTTTACTCTCTATAAACATTTTGACATTCTGAGCATAGAATAAGGAATGAGGCCTTGAAGAAATGTTGCTTTTTTAAATGAGGCTGGACAAATATTTGGGGGACTAGAAGTGGTGACTTTCATATTGATTCATGTGAGATTTGTCAATTTCAATAATCTGTGTTACCCTTATCACCACCATAGATTTATGTAACTTTTGTGGCAATATTTTAAAAGGACTTTGCAAGAGACAGAATAAGGACTGTCTGTATCAACTGAGCTATTGTTTGTAATGTATATTTTAGCTCTATAGCCAATATTCTCTTGCTGTAAGAGGCTCAGACCGAGATGGAGCAGCAGGTGGTTTGTCAGCAGACTGTGAGTGCAGCATTAAAATCCTCGATGTCAACGACAACATCCCATACATGGAACTGCCTTCAGTAAGTATTTGTCTTTGGAATTAATAATTTTTAACTCACCACACTGTAACAGTTGTTTGAACAATCTTATTTACAGACGTATATGTTCTCCTTAGTCGCATACAACCCAAAAGTAGACATGTACTTTGGGTTCATGTATACAAAGCACAGGGAGAAAATATTTAAACAATGAAAAGTCTGACTATAAACACAGATCCTTTTTCTAAATAATGAATAACTGTGAACATTCCATATAAGTCTAGTATAATTCTCTCACTCACACAGTTTTTTTTTACTTCTTTTTTCAGTATTCCATAAGTATTGAAGAAAATGCTCTGTATTCAGATTTGCTCCAAATTAGAGTCATTGATTTGGATGAGGAGTTCTCAGCTAACTGGATAGCAGTAATTTTCTTTATGTCTGGAAATGAGGGAAATTGGTTTGACATAGAAATGAATGAAAGAACAAACGTGGGGATTTTAAAGGTTATTAAGGTATGGTATAATTATCCTACATATTTTGTTCTCCTTGTCTTTTTCCAAATGCTAATCTTAAAATAAAATGTTAAGATTTTACAAACTTGAGTGTATGAAGGGATGAAAATTACTGTTTTAAAATGGTATATGAAGTAAAGCTTTTATATAGAAAGTTCTCTATTTATATAATTTCATGAAAACAGTCATTGAATTTCTAACTCAAAACCCTTCTCTTTTTTGAGTGTTTTTTTCCTCACTGGTGTTCAGTTGGAGTTGTCCCTCCTCTTCCCCACTGCTCTCCCGGCCCCACCCCGGCCACTCCCGCAGTCTGTCCCCCCACATCATCCACGCCCATGAGTCCTCTGTTTGTGTACACTTCGATCAATATAGCACTCCCTCACAGATTATAGGAACTGAAAGAATTTTCAAACATGAAACTTATTTTATGCTTACAAAAAAATGTAAAACCAATCATTAAAATGTTGTTTTAGAATACTTAGGAAAATATTTTTAAATCAGATTTAATATAGCCATTAAAAATATGTGTCCATGTCAACATTATATGACGGTTATTATACACTAAGAATACTCATCAAATAAATGAAGGTTCTTTATTCCTCCAGTGTTTTTTATGAGATTAATATTAAATAACTGTAGTTGTAGAAACACATTCCCGTGTCATGTGGCCGCTGACCAAAGTTTATTATGACATAAATACACTAGAGATTTGGTCCAAGTCACTAGAGTTTTCCTGTGTCCCCCGTAGACTAATGATCCACCAGATTCACCTGCAGTAGAATTCCCTGTGAGACGTGAGGCAGAATGTCTGACTCCTGGGGAGCTGGCAGTGAAAACTTCACCCCGTGCTGCAAGACCTACCCGGTCTATGTTTAAAATTTGTGAAAGCGGTACATGGACTGTGTGTGGTGCGTGCAAGATGGATCTTTTTAGGAAAATACAATTCCTTTTTTGCTATTTCCTTCCTTCAGAATAATCCTCAGAAAAGACTCCTAAGGAATTCTGTCCCCTTAGGAATGTGTGATCACTTGTTTCATAAAGTGTCACCGTGGCTCTCGCGTCCATGTGGCGAGGCCCTGTGCAGAGCCTGGAGGCCATCCCTCCCAGCACCCCCGCCGTAGGTTACCCGCGCCCACGCCCACGTTCAGGCAGGTGCTGCGAGGGTCAGAGAGAGTGCGCAACCTGCTCGCGTTCTCCCGACGAGGAAGTGCTACAGCTGACATTCAGACCTCCGTCTCTCTAGCTACCCAGTCCGTATTCTTCCCACCGCGCTGCCTGGATTCCATGCTGGGGAAACGGAGTCCTAAACTATCTTACACCAAACCACTATAACGCTTGAGAAAGTTAATCTTTCCTCAATACCTCTCTCTGTAAAATGGGAATGATTTTGATTTTTTCTCCCAGACATGATATCATATTATTTCTTATTGGTGAATATATACTATATATAATATATATGTGTTTAGGTATTATATATGTATACATGATTTTATAGCCATTCTTCAAATTTCAGATACAGTTAATATTAGAGCAAAGACTAAAAATTTTATGTAAGTGAAGAGCTCAGTTTGCAGATAAATGGTCATATAAGTTACCTTCATGTGAAAACTTAGAAAACATATTTGGCATAGTAGATTGTTTGAGGATTTTATAAGTAGTGGATATCGATACCATTTTTTATAATAAAAATGACTACTTATTTATTTTATAAGGTAAAATAATTTTTTCCAGAATATGTTTAAAATATAAGAATCTGGGTTTTTTTATTTATATGCTACATTCTAACACCAGACTTATAAGTAAGTCACATTTATAGAAGTAAAATTCTTCTAAATAGTTCTTTATGGATAACCCAGTCAAATGATGGAACCTACAATGTATCCTCCTATACTTTGTATATATAGGACTAGTCTCTAAATAACATGAAATGAGACAATCTAACATAAACGGTCTTTGCACTGCAAATAGCAAGGATTTGACCATCCTTATTAAGTTTTTAATTTGGTGAACAATTAGGACATAGTCATATATTTTCAATTTTGCAATAAAGGATCTAAAACAATTGGATTTTTTTCTTACTATATATATTTTATGTGTTTGTACTGAATTAAAGAGTATGAAAGTAAGAATATATTACATATTTATGTACCTATACTTAATTTAAAAAGAAACATAAGGATTTCTTTGCCTAGTATCAAAGGATTTCTTTCACTTCTAGAATTTTTTCTTCATGTAGTAAAACTATTTCACTCTATTTTCTAGCCCTTAGATTATGAAGCTGTGAAGAATCTGCAACTTAGTATCGGTGTTAGAAATAAAGCTGAATTTCATCAGTCAATTATGTCTCAGTACAAGCTCACAGCTACCGCAATCTCTGTGACTGTGTTAAATGTAATTGAGGGTTCAGTGTTCAGCCCAGGTTCAAAGACATATGTAGTAACTAGTAACATGGGACAAAATTATCAAGTGGGAGATTTTATAGCTACCGATCTGGACACTGGTCAAGCTTCAACAACTGTTAGGTAAGACTGACATTTTCTAAGTAATTTTCATCACATATTGGATTAAGTACATATGTTCTTTTTAGAAATGTAAAGTATGAATTAAAATATTTTTCATTATCTTGAAACTATCATCTAATCATAAAAAGTACTAACTACTGAATTATTACTTAATTTAGAGTTTTTAAGAACATATAAAAATTTGTCCAAATGTAAGATGTAAAAATATGAATATGTAAATTGTGGAAATATTGAAACTTTAAAGTTTGACACTCCTGTGTTTATACATTTTGTTAATCAATTAGGTGATTACCACATATCAAGGTTATTTATGTTGGAAGATTTTCTGGACTGGGTTTCCCATTGCAAATTTGCCCAGATTGAAGCCCATTAGATTTCATTACTCTCTTTTCTTTAATCAGCACTTGATTAGTATTGGTCTATAATAACTTTGGTATGAAATATGAGTTAAAGGAAAAAATCATGCTATCTAATTTTTGAACTCTGTATATCTAAATATTTCTACTTGATCATAGAAGATCTGTGAGAACATGTGCAAATATGTTTTTCACATGTGCTTGGGACCAAGCATTACAGTGAGGGAAAGGCCTCCCAAATGGGCTCTGTAAGTTTGCTCTCTGCGCTCTTCTCACACTGTGTGAGTAGTTCTGTTCTGTCTCTTATCACACTGGGCCACCATTGCCGATAAACTCTCTTGTGCCCTGCAGATGTGAGTTCATGGAGGGCGGGTCACCCTCCAACCCACCACCCTGTTCCCCTTAAAGTTCTGCTCCCTGAGTTTAGCAGAATGCCTGACACAGAGAGTTACTGCCCAGTGCTTCCTTAACAAATGTAAATGAGGGGAGGAAAGGAGTGATGTGAAAGATGAGGAGAGAAAAGAGGATAGAAAACAGGACAGAAGCACAAGGAAAGGACAAACATAGTTTGGAATTCAACAGAAGCCCTGTGAAGTCATTGTGTATGTGGAGAGGGGGGGTGGAAATAGGGAGGGGATGACGGCCAAGCTAATGATGAAGTAACTTCTTTGGTGAGAGAATGATCTAGAATTATTATGAGCTCTCGAGAAGTCCTAGGATCTGGGTCTTCCCCAGTAGCTCTGATGCTTCCAAAGTCAAATCAAAATGAGCTTGCAAGCATTAAAGGAAAATTCCAATATCCAAGTGGGCTTGAGACATTTCATCAGAAATGGCGGCTCAATAACTCTTTTTTCTTATATTTACATCTTTGTCTATTTCTGAATGTCCTCAAACAGCTGGAAGTGCCCTGAAAAAAAAAAATGCCTCTAATAACTGAAAAGTACATCCAGGGTTAATAACTACTGACTTACTGACTAGAAACATACATTTTATAAATGAAATCTCTCAGTCTCTCTCTCTTTTTCTCTTGTTAGAAAGCTGACATTAATTTGTACTGCTGTCTTTCGAATACAGATATGTAATGGGAGATAATCCAGCTGACCTGCTTGCTGTTGACTCAAAGACAGGCATAATTACTTTGAGAAATAAAGTTACCTGGGATCAATATACAATGCTTAATGGAAAATACCAAGGAACAATTCTGTCTATAGATGGTAAGGGGTCAATTTATTTTTTTCCTTCTTTAAGAAGTTATATGTATACTCAAAAATTAAAATTTTAATTACTGTATTTTGTAGTAATGCTTTTTCCAACAAAAGTTATTATATTGGGTATTATAGAATCAAATCTTTATTAATATGAACAGTAGTACAATTTAGTGGATAAGACCATGAGCTCTGGAATGAGGCTGGATAGGTATCTTATACCATCACTTATCAGATACAGGATTTTAGAGAAGTTACTTAACCCTTTTTTTCCCTCACTCTTCAACATGGATTTAAGGAGTTAACTACATGTAAAGCACTTAGACTTTCAATAAATGTCAGTTCTTCGTAATGTAAATAACTGAATATTTTAAATTGCATGTATTGTAAAATTATTTTCAAATAGGCCAGAAGTCAAGCTAACTTAACTTTACATAAGTTTTAGAAAGTTGATGTAAAACCTTTGTGTAAACAGTTTGGAAGTAGCATGCTTATATTACTCTTCAAAACCAGTACAATTAAATTAGGCCAGCCACTAAACAAAGGAAGTTCCTGAGGGTGATTCTGGCAGCAACACTTGCTACTTCAGTTGTCCTCCTCCCTTTTTTCTCCCTCTCTTGTTCCTCTCCCAGTCATCCTAAAAATGGTTGAACCTTCCCACTTGCTTTACAGAATAAAAATAAAAAACAAAATAACACTTTTAAAAGTCATTCAACAATTCAAAATTTTTCCAAATATACTGATTTTTCCACAAAAAAAGTCTGCAAAGTTTCTTTTGAGAAATTAGCTGAGAGTCTTACAGGAAATCCTTTGTAGGTAACTGTTTTCTTTTCTCTTGCTGCTTTTAAGATTCTCTCTTTATCTTTAACCTTTGATTTTAATTATGATGTGTCTTGGTGTGGTTCTCTTTGGGTCCAACTTGTTTGGAACTCTCTGTGCTTCCTGGACTTGTATGTCTATTTCCTTTGCCAAATTGAGGAAGTTTTCTTTCATTATTTTTTCAAATAAGTTTTCAATATCTTGCTCTTCCTCTTCTCCTTCTGTCATCCTTATGATTCGGATATTGGCACTTTTGGAGATGTCTCAGAGTCTTCTTATACTGTTGTCATATTTTCGAATTCTTGTTTCTTCCCTCTGTTTGGTTAAATGTTTATTTCTTCATTATATTCCAAATCATTGATTTGAATCCCAGCTTCCTTCCCTTCATTGTTTGTTACCTATGGATTTTTCTTTATTTCACTTAGTATAGCCTTCATTTCTTCTTATGCTTTTGCTGTATTCAGTGAATCCTCTGAGCATCCTGATCACCAGTGTTTTGAACTCTGCATCTGATATATTGGCCATCTCTATTTTGTATAGTTCTTTTTCTGGTGTTTTGTTCTGTTCTCTCATTTGGGCCATATTTCTTTGTCTCCTCCTCAATTTGGCAGCCTCCCTTGTTTCTTTCTGTGTATTAGGTAGAGTTGCTTTGACTCCCAGTCTTAGCACACCTGTTAAGTTGCATGGGGTGGAGCATTAGGTATTCACCAGGCGGGCCAACCAACTTCACCACTTTGTGGTGCTGTGGGGTGAGGGAGGGGTCAGAGAGGTGACAGTGCCACTGCCGGGTTTCTGGAGCCTTGACCTACCTTTACCCTGTTTCCAGTCACTTCACCCACTTCCCATATATGACTGGCACCCTTCTAGCTTATGCCCTGGTGGTGATTCCCAGAGTGGGTGGGATTGAGTATGTTCTAGGTCTGTGAGGGCCCTTTAAACAGACTCTCCTGAGTCACCAACAGTTTCTTCCACTGTCCCCACCCCCATTGGTTTTTACACCCAGAAGTTATGAGGCTTTATCTTCCTGGTGCTAGAACTCTGGGCTGCATGGCCTGGCCTGGGGCTGGGATCGCTTGCTCCCAAGGTATCCCTCTCAATTTTTATCCACCACACATTAATGTGGGATCCCCATTCTTGGCTACCACCACCACCTCTGCAAGCCACATCGGTCCTCTCTGCCCCTCCTACCTGCCTGGATAAATATGGCTTCTTTAAAACCATGGTTGTCAGACTTCCACACAGTTCGATTTTCTGGCAGTTCTGGGTGTTTTTTATTTTGAGGTTAGTTGTAATTCTTCTTCAGGTTGTGCAAGGAGGTGAAGCTGTGACTACATAAGCTTCCATCTTGAACAGAACTCTTAAATTGAGAGCTCTTAATGAACCAGTTTTGTTGCAAGATAAGGACACAAATATAGATTCAAGTATATTTCTTATTCAATTGTATTGAGGTATAATTTACCTTTAATAAATATACTCTTTTTAAGAGTATAGCTCGATGATTTTGACAGATGTACACTTCCATATATACATCGCCACAAACAAGATCTAGGACATATTCATCACCATAAAGAGTTCCCTTTTGCAGTCATTACCACAGCTCTACTTCAGTTCTAGGCACCTGCTGATCTAAATGCAGATGTATTTTGATGTACTGCCCATTATATCACATATACTCAAATATCAGTCTACTGTTTTGATATACTGGTTGGTTGGATGGTTGGTTGGTTGGTTGGTTGCTTGCTTGCTTGCTTGCTTGGTTTAAATAAACAGCAAGTGTAGAGCAATTAAGTTAAAACAAATAACAAATGTACCTTCCTCTGTGTTTAGTCAAGGAACACAATGACTAACTAAAACTTTGAAGGAAAAGAAATAAGCAAATTGGGAATATCTGCTTATGAAACAAAAGTGTTCCACCTTCTAATTGAAATAAAAATTTGCCCCCACCTCGAATAGTGTCAATTCCCTCTCCTCTAAGTTGTTGGTTGTGAGTTTAAGAACCTGCTGTTTTATCAGTAGGCAATTTTTGTAGAAATGATATACCAGCCTGCTTGAAATCTGTTCACTTTGTCAGCTCATAAAGGGAAAAGAACAAACATAATTAAAGAATAAAGGCAGTAAAATGACAAATAAAACCTAGCTCTAGTATAAGAAATGTGCAAGAAAATAGTCTAGAAATGCCTCCACTGTGGCTTACAACACACCACTGGCCAATATTTACTTTCTGTAGTGTCTACTGTTTATGCTTCACTACACATGAGGCAGTTTTTCAGGAGCACTGAAAGTCATAGCAGTTTGATTTAAAAACTGAGTCACGAACGAGGGATGATTTGGGAAGTTACTGAATGGACGCGAATAGAGACATTGAAATAAGTATTGATGCAAAAAGAAAATAGTTTTGTATTGTCTAACAATTTTTACACTAAATGTATAAAATATTTCTTCCATTTTTGAACTTGTTTCAGATGCGCTTCAAAGAACTTGTACAGGTACAATTATTATTGACCTTGAAGGTTCTGGCTGGGAACAGTCTCAAATTATGACAACAGGTGGCCCCGGCTATCAAGGAAAACCTACTACTTCTGGATTGACTAATGAAGAGTATGACCACACAAGTGATGATGGCTACGGAGAAACAAGTAATCAAGGAGGAACAGGGGATCTATCAGGAGTGCCCATTATCGCAGATAACGTACATCTTGGTCCTGCTGGCATTGGACTACTTGTCATGGGATTCTTGGTCTTAGGATGTAAGTACTTTAAGAGTCCAATTTATATGTGCCCCCTCAAAAGGAATTGTAAGTTTTCTGATCTTTTGATAAAAAGTATTTTACAAATTCTTAGTTTGTCCAATTATCAAGATATTTCTATATTTAGTGCAAGATTTATAAGACAAAGACATCCAACAGCTTGGCAGTGGAGGATAAAAAACTTTTTCGCATTGAATCTCAGTGTAATGGGAAGTTCCATAAGATGCAGTCAAATTGTTATGTGAGTGAAGAAGACAATCAGAAACAATAGAGTAAAACACTCAGGAGAGCCTACACAGAGAAAATAAATTTTCAGTTGGGTATTAACAAAACTAGCCTATTGAAGAAGAAAAGGGGAACACATAACAAGGAGTGAAAATAATCTATGCACAAATCCCCCAAAGAATGAAGTGCTGGTTACTGAAATAAAGGACTCCAATAAAGAAGAAATAAAAGAGGTACAAGACTGCAGGGTGACTGCTGAGACTAGAAAGATAAGCAGGGGCCAGACACTGAAGGGAGTCCATGCTGTGCTACAATTAATGAAAGGGAGAGCCAGACAGACCTAGGGTTAAACTTCAGCTTCTAAATGTAATTGTCTGAGTCTTTCAAAAATTACCTAACTTGGTAATGGTCACTAGAGTAGACCAGGTCAAGATTCTAGCTAGGAGGGTATAATAGCCAATGGATTCTCTAAATGGCCTTCAACAGAGCCTTGGATGATGATAGATATTAGAGTGGAGATGGGCTAGATCTTACCGTCTCTGACGGATGAGAAGGGGAGCTCTGAAGTAAGTGGTTGACATCTGCACATTACTATTAAATTAAACATTGCCATTTTTCAGGTATAGAATCATAAAATTTCAGTGACAGAGGATACCTCAGGTATTACTTAAGTAAAACATACACACATAAAATATGAAATCAGAGCACTCCACATATGAAATATTTTTACATTAATATTTTAATACATAAACAGTTATCCAATAGATAGCTCTCACTAAATTTATTAGTAAACTGGATTTTGTCTGTTTTTAAGTAACTTTCACCCTTTTGAAATTTTTGACCAAAATTGAATTCATGTACACCACAAAGGCTTTGGACATGCTGGTAGCACAACTTAAAGTGGAGGATCTTTTCCCACAATTGAAAATGAATTCCAAAAAATAAGAAATGTATATGTAAAGTAATACGATGTCATTCTTATTCACTCAAAGGAAATTGAAACGACCATGAAAAGTTCTATTAAAGGAGGAGAAAGGTTAAAAAACATTCTTATCAGAATAAACCAAGGCAATAAAAATGCTAGGAAATTTGCAGAATGTAATATAAAATATATATGAGAAGACATAATTCTTTAATTTCCCCTTTTTGGACATGTTAATTACTAACAACATTTTAAAACTTTTAAGTTAAATATTTTTCAAAGTAACAATTGGCCCAAGTGCTGATTACTTCTATTGTACCACTACATAACTTTCACTTTGAGTTTGCTTTTTATATTGGTGACTACCTTTGGTTAGTATGGTTAGTAAACTATTTATAAATTATATTATGGGCTTTAGACTCAAATACCTCTAGATTCAAAGCTGTCTCTCAGCCTGACAGATTTTCAAAGAAGCAAAATCTCTGGAATATTTTCTTCTTTTTTTCCTTCTCCCCTCTCTCTTTTTTTTTAGAAATAAACTGTGTGTATTATTTATTACATTGGGGAAAAAAAGACCACTAATAATCATGGCTTGTGGCTTAACTCCATTGGGTTAAATACATTAATAATAATTTGCATACAACAAAAACAGTTTCCTAAACACCATAGATAAATCATCTCACATGCACATTTTGAACATATTATGTATTTATGACTCAGAAGTAACCTTGAACATTTTAAACAGCAAAATTGTACAAAGAGTGACAATTTGAAATAATGCTGGCAAAGTACCCTGTGTTTTTTTCCCCATAGACACACTGTAGAAATCTCAGGTTAAGAAAACTTTTAAAAATGTTTGGTATACTAGAACGTGTTTTGGAGAGTGGAGAGAAAAACAACTTTCTGCTTGGCTTAGGAGAGTCAACAGTTAGAAGTCACTGAACCTGGAGCTAGAAGCCCCGAGGAGCCAGAACTCTGAGGCAGGAAACAGCATGGCCAGGAGCTGGGTTGTCTCTTCCCTCCCTTCTCCAGGCCCAGCCAGGGTCCCTCCTTGAAGATGCTGCTGAGGTCACTTGTCTTTCAGAAGGGTAATCACGCCATGGGGAAGTGACGCTTTCATCTTAGTAGCTGCAATGAACCGTGATCTGTGAGATGCTCTGCCATTTTAAAGCACAAATGTCTGTATCCCAGCAGATAAACAGGCTGCACTGCTGGGAGTCTGAGCGCGACGCCTGCTGCCCGCCAGTCAGTGGCGCTGCGAGCAGGAAGCCAGGGAGGGGCCTAGCAGCCTGGAGGCAGCTGCCATGGGCTCCCAGAGCTGACTGTGGTCGCCCGCTACCATCAGTCACAGTCAGAGCTCTGCTGTTTTCTTGGCGTTAGAATCTCACTGAAGGCTTTTCATGAAAACCCCATCCCTAGGAATACATTTGGGGCACAACACATTGTCCTCCAGCTGCGGGGGGAGTGGCAGGCAGGTAGCAAGAAGAGTGCAGGCACTTTCTCCTGTTTCTCAGGAACCCAGGCTTGCCCAGCACTTCCCTCTGCCTCCTGCTCTCCTTCCTGCGCTCCTCCTGACCCACCCCCACCCTGCTTTCTTCTTCTTCTTTCCCTCCTGCCTCACTTGTAAAAAATGTACACGTCCTTTCCTCCATACACCTGTTAATTCCAAATCCTTGTTTAAGACCATATTATGTTAAAAACCCTGGGAGAGAAACACACAGATAAGAAAAATCCAGTTGCTTAATAGTAAAAGATATTGGTAAGCAGTGTAATGTTCTCTCTTTCTGCATGAGTAAGTTCAAGAAAAGAGATCTGTCTACAGGCCAATAATAGCCTCCGAGGGGATAATTGCTTGAAGCCTGAGTAAGAGGTTCCTTTGGAGATAGAAGGGCAGGCATGTGTGAAAGGACAAATATAAAGACGGGGAAGAGGAAAAGGAAAAATCAGACCTATGGACGAGTCTTTCCAGCTTTCTTTTTTCTCCCCTTTACTATTTTCCTGAGTAATGACAGGGGGAAGACGCATCTGTTTCAATAGTATAATGCTATCTGCAATCTGAATCCCATATTACAAATTAAAATGGATTGTAACCTAGTATAGTGAAGCTCACAGTGATTCTGATAGCTCACCGTTACTCAGGTTATTTTATGAAAACTTCATAATGATTTTAGGACCAAATAGGGTTATATTAAGGGTTTAAATTTAATAACGAAAAGCAAGTCATTTTGTTTTAATATAGCCCCGCTGCTAATTTTAATATTTCCATCTTCTCACCATCAGTGGTCCCATTTTTATTGATCTGTTTTGATTGTGGAAGAGCCCCTTGTGAGGGAGCCGGCTTTGAGCCTGTTCCTGAATGTTCAGATGGAGCAATTCAGTCATGGGCAGTAGAAGAGCCACAGCCTCAGTTCATGGTAAGTGTCAATCTGTAAGAAACGGCCTACGGTTGTCACCTAAACTCAGCCCTGTGCGCATGAAACCAGATGTGGGAGGTCACTGCCAGTCTATGCTGTTCTCTGTTCTGGGCTAACGAGTGGGGAAAATGGAGAGAAATCAGAGGCGCCTCACAATTCGGTGGAAGTAACCAGGGGAGGCTTTGTGAATGAGGTTCCTGTTTAAATGGATTTTGAAAGGTTCCTCAGTAGTATTCATTCAGAAAATCTGAGCTAATTTGACAATTAACCCAATGTGTGACTATAGAGACAAAAGTCAATACAAATGGGAAAATGCTGTTTCTTGTCTTTTAGGATTTGACCACTCTCCCTGTACTACAGATACCACTGGATAATGCAAATATGATTGAATGTATTGACAATTCAGGTACAATTTTTTTTTTAATTTTAACAACTGAAGGGATTTTATTCTCTTTTTGCATACCTCAATGTTTCCCAGTTATTTCATGTGTCTTTGTAAGTGTTTTGATTATTCCTTTTTATATTTTTCCTTCTTTATTTTGTTTTTTAATGCAGATTGATTTTATTTATGTTTTTTAATATCAAGATCCATTATATTAAGTAATTTAAATCTATTATAAAGTCTCAGCAATGACAGCTGCACTAAAATAATCAAGTAGATCAATGAAATAAAACAAGCATTCTAGAAACAAATGTATATATCTTTCTAACAATGTAATATATGATTAAATTGATATTTCAAATCAATGGAGAAAATAAGGCTTATTTAACAAATAAGGTGCATGGACCACTATTACTTGAAATAAAACAAATATAGAGCCCTATTTCACACATTGTACAAGAAATATTCAGGTGAGTTAAAAATAAATATGCAGAATCTAAGGAGTTTTAGGAGAAAATATAAACTGATATTTTTCTTACCCTGAAGTAAAATATTCAAACCCAGAAGCTATAAAGTAAGATATTGACAATATGACTATATTAAACATTTAAGACTATAGAGTAATATACATATAAAAAATTTAAAGGACAAGTCATAGAATAGGAAAGTATTTGCAACATATCTAAAAAAGGGTTAATAGTTTTGGGGGAGGTTTTTTAAGGAAAATACTCTATAAACATTTAATCAAAAAATGGATAAAGAATACCAGAAAGTCATTTAATGCTTTTTTTTTTTAATTTATTTACTTTTAAAATACATTTGTCTCTGCCTCCCCCCACCTCTTTCCCTTGCCGCCTCCCACCTTCCCTCCCTCAGCTCTTCCCCTTTGGTTTTGTCCATGAGTCCTTGCTATATGTTTAAAGCTTTTTAAAAATAATAGAAATAGGCAAGAAATATACAAAAACAGGTTTAGTTTCAACAAATAATAAAGTTGACCACCTGCTACTCTCTCAGTTCTCTCCCCAAAGCCTCCTTCCCCAGCCTCTCCTCAGGTGTCTCCAGGCCACTCTGCCCCCGCCTTTGCTGGAGACGAGGGTAAATGGCTGCAAACAAAAATTTATGCCTTGGCCCTTTAAACAGTTCTTTGCATCTCTAGCCTTCCCTCTCCAGCAGAGAGCAAATCTGCTTCTTTACACAGCTGGCTGTTATCTGTGTACTTTTTGGGCTCCGATGCTATATATAGGCTGGAGACCCTTGCTTATGGTTTAGACTTTCCTCTTCTCAGAGGGATCCAATTGGCTGTTTCAATATCCTTCTGGTGATGCCGCCCATGGGTGCCCCAACCACCTTCTCAAGTCTCTACCACACTCCTTACCATTTAGGTTGTACTAAAGCTGATTCTTCTGTCTGTCCGAGGTTTAAAGACTCCTCTCTCGCTATTTTTCAGTTGTTTGTTCCAGGTGATTTCTCCACAATTTAGTTGTAATTCCAGGTTGGTCCTAGGAGGAGGTCAGTGTGACTTCCACTCACTCCTCTGCCATCTTCATTCCTGATTATTCCTTTTTAAATGACTGATTTGCTAATTAAATGATGAGGAAACCCTATAGTACTATTCTTATATGTTAAATTTTTAAAATCGTTCTCAAATGTCAGAGAATGTTTAGATGATGACATGATTAGGATGTCTATAAATAGGAAAGAATAACTAAATTGTAACCACAAGTCAACATTGGTTTGGGTTTTTAGGTTTGTTTGTTTATTTGCTTTTGTTCAATAGAGGAAACCTTATTCACCCCAAAAACACTGATTAGAAATAAAGTACAACCCAATTAAAATAGATCTGTGCTCATTTATTGAGACTAGAATCAACCTCCACAATTCGTGAGTGGTTTAAAGTCACTCTGACTTCAGCTGCTATCATGACAAAATTAAACTGTATCCATTCTCAGCATCCACATTAATATTTACCTAAAAGGCTTTGTCCCATTTACCAAAATGAAAGTGGATAAAACCCTATCAAAATCTTTTAAAGCTCTCATCTGAGGGTGTGTGAGTGTGGTAGAATTACTCCTTGCACGTGGGTAAAACTCTCAGTACAATTTAATTTACAGCAGAGGTCTAGACCAATTCATAGGCAGACACCAGGGACAATTAGATTTTCACAGTAAGTGAATAGCTACCACTCTCACAAAAAGAACAGTTAACTTTTAAAAACTTCTTATACCTTTGAAAAGAGTTGCATCAGCTTTCCTTTTTTCAAGGTAAGTAAATATTATTTGTTCTCTTATTTTTCCCTCAGGCTTTTTCAAACCTGTAATCATGACTTTTCTACTTTGAACTCTTTAATATGCAAGAGTCACAGGATGTTTGTAACTTGTAGACTGGACTTTATTCAAGAACTGGACATGCCAATCTTTAAAACTATTTCTCTTCCTCATGTATTAACTTTTGTTAATGACACCTGCCTCCCCCCACCGCAGAAACAGAAAATCATCTTCTTATATCTCCGTATTCATTGATATCCAATCAGTTCTCAAGACTTGTCAAATCCTCCAGGATTTATTTACGCCTTTATTCTCTCATTAAGTCTCAAACTGTTACCCAAACCTTGAAGAGAGCACAGTGAGAGGCACCAAAGTAAGAGAAGTATAGAAAACACACCGACCCTAAAATCAAGGCCTTTACAATCCTCAAGCAGGGGACGCCTATCCCATGTCAACACACGCCTGTCCATTGCACTCCCACGGTGCAGACCGTCGTTGTAGCTCACAGACCCAGAATACTGCCAGACTTCCAGTCACTCCTCACGTCCAAGTGCAGGTTCCAGAGCCCACGCAAACCTCTCCCCTCACCACAGCCATGGCTGCTTCTCTGAGAGCCGTCATTCAGGGCCTTCGCTGGAGGCTCTGTGCTTCTAGTATATTGGGGTGTTCTCATCCTATTTAACTTTTTGAATTTAGGATATTTCCCCCCAATTTTTGTTACTTTAAAGTTAAAATCTCATAACTATGTATGGTGCAAGTTGCGTACTATAAGTATCAGGGGGAATGCTGTAAAGTATATCATGGTCTAATCAATATGTTGTAAATATGAAACTAATACAAAACAATATTAAATGTAAACTGTAATTGAAAAACTTTAATTAAAATTAAATAATCAGAATCTCTAAAGCATGGGTTTTTGTAACCTCTATGCAGCCTCTCTCTTCTAGTTCAATATATAGTTACCGACAAATAATTTAAAGCAATAATTAACAAATTAATGGATAACATTATTTTGAACTCAATATCACATTTATTATGCCTGTATTTAGATTTCATCTTCAGTTTTTTCCTTGGCTCACAAATGTATACTTAGATGAAAAAACCATACATTAAAATAAGTCACTGATTTTCAGTCTATAACACACTACATGAAGTAAATTTAATTTGATTTACTTTCAGGGATTTACACAAATGAGTATTGTGGTAGAGAATTGCAAGATATGGGAGAAGATGAAAGAATGACAGGATTTGAACTAACCAAAGGAGTTAAAACATCAAGAGCACCTGAGACATGTCAAGAATATTCTGGAATGTTCAGAAGAAATTCTATGAGGGAGTGTCGAGAAGGAGGTCTGAATATGGACTTCATCGAAAGTTACTTCTGTCAGGTAAGGGCTCTAGCCCCCATGCCTTCCTGTCCATCCTGCACTGCTGTGCTCCAGGCTCCCGCTATTTCCCAATGGGGCTTTGGCAGGCATCTCCTAGCTGGGCTTCCAGCCTCACATCTTTATGCCTGGAGGTCATTAATGCTGCTAAATAATACAGCTAAAACCCTGACTGCAGCCTGTTACTCCTCACTTAAAAACAGCAAATGCATGCCCCGCCCTGCTGTATTTTGTCTGTGGCATGAAGTCCAACATGGCAAACAAGGTTATTCACAAAATGACCCTGCCTTCACATTTCCAGTTACCCCCTACTACTAATCCCACTTGCCAAGTGCCTTTGCCTTAGTCACACCAGTCTGTTGCCCTCCATGTCCTTGTTTACTCTGTGCCTATACTGGAAAGCTTTTATCTGGTCATATCCATCACAAACCCCTACCCATCTTTGAAGACCCTGTTTAAATATCATTGCCTCTGAAGTTTTATTGTTAGCCATATCATCCAAAATAGAATTGGTGTTTCCTTACCTGTATCTCTGTAGTACATGTTCTCCTCGACTTACAATGGCATTATGCCCCCTTAAGCCCATGATAAGTTGAAAAAATGTAAGATGAAAGTGCATTTAATATGCCTAACCTACCAAACATCCTAGCTTAGCCTAGCTGGTTGCCACTTTTGTACCATCATAAGATAAAAAATTGTTAAGTCGAATCATATATGTCTGGGACCAGCTGTGCTTTGTCTATACGTTTTAGAAACATACCATTTCTAAAATCTGTTAGTGCATAATTCACCACACTTTCTGGTGTATCACGTACCCATTCTCCATATTATGTTGCCAGTACCTGGCTCAGTTCCAGGTACATAGTAAACATTCCGAAGAGTGGGTTCAAGAGACACAGCACAACTCCAAAACATTGTAAAAATCAGTAAGAATTAATTTTGCCACCCTCAGGTAGAGACAGAACTGCTGGTGGTTACACGCCGTGTGATGCTATAAAGCTTTATGGAATTTGCGCTCCCCAATACACTTGTGTCTGTCTACATCCTGGCCTCGGATGCCTTCATGGATATTCCTAAGGGTTTAGATGGTGGCCGATATTTTGAAATAAGATACTAGTAAAAGCCTTTCAAATGCCAGTAGATAATAGCAAGAGGTCTGTTGCTGAAATCCATAGAAATGCTTCCTATCCAGACCCCAACAAATTAATATATGTTCATGAAAAGTACAATTCTGCCTCCCAGCTTTTGCACTTACAGCTCCTTCTGCCCAGAACATTCTATTTGCTTTACGCACCACCACTTGATTCAAACCTCTGATCAAACATCACTTTTGGAGATGCCATCCTTGGCCATTCTGCCTGAAAGAGCAAACCCCATTATTCTGTATCCCTATACCCTGTACTCACCACCTCCTGACAAATAGGTTTATGTGTTGTCTGTCTCATCCTACTAAAATGTAAGCCATACAAGAGAGAGACTTTATCTAGTTTTGTTCATTACTTTTTTGCTAATTTCCTAATAGAGTGTATTTCAAGTAGTAAGAACTCAAAAAATATTTGTGAATGACGTGGCTCAATGAGTTGGTTTTCTAATAAATGCATTTCTGATATTTAACCTGAAAGTTTGCAATCCATTATTATGAACACCAACGATGAACTATAAGTACACATGTCTGTGGACTTTTACTTTGAATTGAAGGAGTCTATTTTTAATTTCTTTGGTCACCTTCAATTTCAAATCACAAAGTGGCACAGACCCAGAGTTAAGTGTTTCTGTTGTTTTGTAGAAAGAGCAACATTGAAATAAATTTCACAAATTGAACATAATCAGTTGATCTGAAGGAAGGAAAGCACAATCCTGAATGAACTCAAATCAGCTCAAACAACCTTTTGAATTAAACCAAAGAGAAATACACATTTGGGTGTACTTCAAATTCAGCATTTTTAAATACCTCCTTCTAACTTGGTTACAAAATAATTCATGTGATTTTTTGTGTTTTCGCATTCAATGTGCACTATTATAAAGTCCATCTAAATAAATCCTTAAAATCATAATGTATTTTTAGAATGACAGTTAAAATAATTTCTAAGAATATGTTTTATGATTTTTAGAGCATCTCTAGTAGATTTTACTTTGGTAATGACTTGCAAAAAATTAATCATAAGAACTTGCATTATTGCTAAATATGTTTTCATGATTTCATTTCCTCTTTCCTCTACCAATTTAGAAAGCATACGCTTACGCAGATGAAGACGAAGGACGGCCATCCAATGACTGCTTGCTCATATATGATATTGAAGGCGTAGGTTCCTCCGTTGGCTCTGTGGGTTGTTGTAGCTTCATTGGAGAAGACTTTGATGACAGCTTCTTGGATACACTGGGGCCTAAATTTAAGAAGTTGGCAGATATCAGCCTGGGGAAAAGTGTTGAACCATATCCAGACCTTGATCCCTCATGGCCACCTGAGAGCACTGACCCGATTTACCCAAGGGGGGAAACAGAGCCCCTTGCTAGTGGACCCCCGCCCATCTCCCCACGTTACGGCACTACCACAGTCATTTCTGAGAGCACCTACCCCTCGGGACCTGGTGTACAGCATCCTATGCCTATTCCTGATCCTCTGGGCTATGGTAATGTCACTGTGACCGAGTCTTATGCCACCTCTGGCACTCTGAAGCCCTCTGTCCACTTTCATGATAATCGACATGCCTCAGACGTGGTGGTGACAGAGAGGGTGGTCGGCCCAATCTCTGGCGCCAATTTGCATGGAATGTTAGAGATGCCTGACTTGAGAGATGGGTCCAACGTTATAGTGACAGAAAGAGTAATTGCACCAAGTTCAGGTCTCCCCACCACTTTGACCATCCCTGATCCTAGAGAGTCTTCAAATGTGGTAGTGACAGAGAGAGTAATCCGACCCACTTCTGGCATGATGGGCAGTTTGAGTATGCACCCCGACCTGTCGAACGCCCACAATGTGATTGTGACCGAGAGGGTTGTCTCTGGCCCTGGCGTAACTGGAATTAGTGACCCAGCTGGGATCATTGGAGGCAGTGGCACAGTCGGCAGTGGCTTCGTTGGCAGTGAAGCTGGAATCAGTGCCGGTGGCACTGGGCTGAGCAGTCTGAGAGGAGGCGGGGGCCTAAGTAGCAGCATGTTGGGCACAGTCGGCAGTGGCTTTGTTGGCAGTGAAGCTGGAATCAGTGCCGGTGGCACCGGGCTGAGCAGTCTGGGAGGAGGCGGGGGCCTGAGTAGCAGCATGTTGGGCACAGTCAGCAGTGGCCACATGAGGAGCTCCTCTGACCATCACTTTAGCCAGACCCTTGGATCTGCCTCTCCTACTACAGCCCGAAGTCGAATCACAAAGTACAGTACAGTACAGTATACTAAGTAGCCAGGATCCCAGCACAGATTTCCTCACTAATTGTGATTTAGGTTCAGTTCCCACCACCAAAAAGCTAACAATGTCATTTATGATGCACAACTAGGTGCAAAGGGAATTGTGGAGCTGAGTGAGAAACCATAATGAGAAAAATAGATGGAAACAGTGCTGTTGGGCAAGAGCTCTCCTTGGCATTTGTAAACTTTTTTTTTTAATATATATATTAATACTACTGGAATCATGACAGGGAACTAAAACTTTAGACGTGGTTTTCTTCACTTCTGTGTGGTCTGTAGTGCATCTCCAGCATGTGGAAGAAATAAAACTCAGTCATGTAAAACCATGGGCTTTCTGATAGCAATTGACATAATTCTCTTGCTCCTTTTTGATTAGCCATGCAGCTCAGGCAACATTTAAAAAAAACTAAACATGCCATATGTATTCATGTATGTGGAACAAATCTGAAGTTTGTGCCAAATGCCCTGTCAATTTCATAGGTAATACAAATAAAAATCCAACCATATATCCCCAGACCATAGTTCAAGACTAAAAAAAAATATCTGGTTACATAGCTAAGTCCAAGCTACCAAGCACTCCTACCTTATTAATCACACTAAGTAAAATAAACCTCAAATTAGAAAATATTTCCTGGGAGAGAAATTCCATAAGAGAGTAACAACAGTATAAGATCCATTTGGGGTGAACAGGCAACATCTGCGCCTGAATCTTAAGATGGGGCTGCAGCTAAAACTTTTATGGAGTCAAGACTTGTCTGCTTCCTGTTTGTGTTCAGTGAGATGTAATATTAACTCATATTGACTACTGGTGAGATTGCAGGATATCACACTCATTTTCTCCTTTCGTTGTGGCTCTGACTTAATAAAAGAAAACCTGCCAAGTGTACTTTTCACATTGAAACAGGTAATAACTGACATGTTTATCCTCACCAGTGGTAGATGACCTTCCACAAAAGCAGAAGGAAACTGCACTGTACTTTCAGACTGTGTTTTTAACAAGTGTTATTTATTTATATTCAGCTTCTTTATTTTGCATCTCCTAAGTTAGAATAATTTAATTAAGCTGAGTTGTATGATTAAGCTTCAGGGGAAATTTTTAAACGGGATCTGGAAAACATTTTTAGAACATGTATAATGTTAATAGGAAAACATAGAGTTGTTCAGTAAATAATATAGTACTATTAGTTTGAATTGAGTTTAGTACTTTTCAACAACCCTCTACTGCTATTTTGAAGTTAACAGCTAGGAACTTTTAACGAGTTGATGACATTGGGTCAACACAAATGAAATCATACAAGGTGACCCCACTTATTTATTCTACCCCACTTGCAACGGAATTTTCTCACTAGCATACATTTTACATTCCTGATTTGATTTCTCAGTACATTCTTGGCTTATACATGCCCCAATTTACAAATTACAAATTATATCCTATGATATATTTTTCTACCTTCAAAATTTAGTGATATAGTATTTATAATATGACATTTCTATGTGTTTGATATATAGCGTTACCTGCTTAAATGTCTGCAAATAGAATCAAAGCATTCTTAGCCAGAGGTAAATTTATCATTGCATGATAGAGGAATATTTTTCTTTTTTCTACCTCAGTATTAATATGAGCCCACTAAAGTAAAATTAGCTATGACAAAAATCTTCTAAGGATTATTACCCCCAATTACTCAAATTTCTAGGGTCTTACAAGATCAAAGAATATTCAACTTCCAATCCTTGTTAAAGGAGACTAGGGAATGAATTATTTTACCTAGAGCTATTTTGCTCTATGTTATATAGCAGATGATGTCAATATTTTCAAAAGCACAATACACATCTTATTTTAACGCTGTAGCCGACACAAAATTGTAATGTTCTGTTGCATGCCAAAATGCAGAGGTCTAAATAAAGTCATTCACAGGGAGTCATTCTTTTACTTCTTTCTCCCATTTGGGGCTTCCATTAGTGATGGGTATTTTTTCCAGAAATAAAGTCAAGAATATTTATTGAAATATACTTTGGTATGATTATGTCCAGGAGTTTGATGACATAAAATCATTATTAATTAATTATTAGTTAATTAAAGGGAGTGATATCTGACCACAAGTATCTTTCTTGTCACTGTTATATGATGTATCATCAAAAGTCTTCTTGAGACTCTTGATATCTACCAGATATGTTTTTTATGTTGTCTAACAAATGCCATAATGACTATCTTTAATAACTGTTGATATTAAAATCTATTAGTTACATAAAACCATGGAACATACAAGAAAAAAATAGCAGAATTATCCATTTTTCTAGGAAGATACTTTCAATTTAAATGTTTTTTGTTTTGGGTTTTTTTCTTGAGGGTTACACACTAATAGTCTAATTTTTTTATTCCTATATTTTAAAAGTACCTTTTAAGACATCAACCATTTAACATACACTTGAATGCGTGTTATTTTTCAATGAACAGCTTTTAGGGAAATTTTAATTCTTCCCTTTAGACATTTACTCTAATTAACAGACCATAGGTTGTTCAATATAACTGAGAAAAGACATAATTTTATAAGTGAATAGTTATCATTCAAATTCACAGTCAAGCTGAATCTTAGAGATTCAACAAAAGAGAAGAAATAATGACCTAAATGATATGTGTGCATAATTCAAAACAGTGTTTAATGTTTATACAGCATCTGCCTTCTAAAGAGGTAGTCCTTGGGGACAAAAGTTAATGCATTATAGATACTTAATTTATTATTTAATATCAACCAAAACACCTTTTTGAGCTGATTTTTACACTGACTTCCAAATATATCCGTTTCATGTTATTAACCTCTATTTATGTTGCCTGATCTAACTGTATTTGCCTTGAAAAACTTACAGAAAAAAAAAGTATATATTTAGGGTTATGTATAGGCCTTCATCAGAATATTTGTTTTATTTTTATGTATAAAGTTTTTAGCCTCATAATCTTCATTCCATGTAATGTTCTGACAGAATTTTAATTATATAACTTCAGAAATTACATATTCGCTCTCACTGGATATTTTTAATTATATACAAAATTCATTTCTGATTTTATATCATCATTTGAGTGTCAGCCAGGCTATGACATATATGACACACTTGGACTTTAGTAGGAGTTTAAAGGCATTATAATCATTGGCTAAAATGGCCATGGCTATTTGGGAAAGACATTAGAAGCCCAAAACAAACTTTTAAAAGGATTGCCACATTTTCTCATGCCTATTGAATAAATTCCAACCTTTTTTGAGATTTTTAGTATTGTTAAGGCCTACTTCATATAGCCCTGGAATATACCAGTCCACATAGATTACTAGTAGCCATTTAATACAATCTGTCTTCCAGGTCTAGATTTTTCAGTTTATGTTGGGACAAAAGTATGAATGAATCAACCTGTTAGCCATCAAATAATTTTAAAACAGTAATCTATTTTTTGCTCACAGTCCCTCCATTTAGTTATGTTAGGATTACTAAACACATTATCACCAAGCTATACTTAGTCTAACTTACCTTTCTTTTGCCATTTTACAAGTAATTTTAAACTCTAACAGTCACTTTTGATAATGCTTAAAACAAGATGCTTTCCTTCAAATTTCAATATAGAAGTTCATAGATTATTTGGGTGCTATTTCTTGCTTGGTCATCTTTGGTTGTTTTAAGTTGGTTTGTAATTTCCAAAGAGTTAGGTTTACAGCAATAAAATGACTAATATTACTTTTATTATCTTTTCTGAATTGGAAGGGGGCTGGGTAATTAGAGATGAACAAATCTAGTTATTACTTTCAGCCTATATAAGGGCATAAGTTTTTTTTTAAATACACTGTTAAAATTTATTTTCACTTTATATCTCCGATTTTTGTTCCTGTTCACTGGGGAGCCTACGCTCCAGAGTGCAGCTCAGTGACGTCAGAGCATGGCCATGGGCAGCCCCGCACAGAGGAGTTAAGGATACATATTAATAATTGTGTTTTTCACTTTTCCCTAATACCATTAACATCTTTATGCTTTTACCTTTCTCTCTATGCTCTTCTAATTTCTTTACTTTTGCTTACACAAGCATTTTATTTCTTTTAAAATGATACCCTTTCATCTTTGTTGAGTGCATCTCTTCTTTGCTCTCCAATGCCACTTTTTGGACTGTTACCACCTTCAACTTGCACAAGACCTTACCCTTTCAAGACAAGTGTGATCTGTTTACATCGCCTTCCCTCTCTGGGTTCTCCAGGTACTATTAACTGACCTCTTTCTTACTAATGTCTCCATCCTTACTGAAGGCTCATATTCTGGCCCACAGTCTTCTGTGACTTCTCTAATTCCTGAGGGTGTTCACAGTGACTTAAATGACCGCATGGGTGAGGCCCTTGACACCCCAGATTCTGTTCCCAGGCCCCCATTCTCCCTACGCCACCTCTTCCTGGTCATAATCAGCATGGCAGTACCTTGGATGCCTCTTTTACTTCCTCCTCATCCTTCCAGCTCACTTGTTTGAGTACTCCAATGGTTGCAGGTCCTCCCCTTCATCAAAACTTCCGTTTGCTTGGGACTCCCACCACTTTCTCACTATAGTTAGTTTAGCTTCCCTCTTTCTCTAATCAAGCTTTAAGAATCCAACTCTAGTCACCTCTTGGTGAATACCTTCAACCTCCTTGCCTTGCTATCCCACTTACATATCCCAAATCTTTCACCCTCCATTTCTGTCTATACACAAACGGCTTAAACAGATGATGCAAGTGAACTGACTTTTTAATTTTAAATATTCAGACTTAAATCATAGAGTAACATCTACTGCTTTTTTACAATCCTGATAGACTTCTTTGATAGATTCTTTGATAAACTTCCCATCTCAAATTTAATAAGACTAAATACTATTCCACACCTTGTTGGCCCTCAAACCTCCCACACTACCTCTTTCCTTTCCATTCCTGGTTGGTGATCTAAGCCTATTGTTCACTGAGAAAACAAGTCATCAATCTTGAATCCACTCATCTT